CTCCGAATAATATTGTCTCTGGAAACTGTAATCAGTATTTGCATTTTAATCAGTTTAGGCGTTAATAATATTCTGCAGGCCCTGTTAAAATTAAAACCTAAACATATCTACTAGAGGTGCTAATAGTATCCCATTATGACTTGCAAAAATTTTTTATTTATCAGCACGGTTCTATGGCAAGTAAGATCACAACTGCTAATTTATATTGTATTGGTCTATCTATTACTGAAAGTGCGGATAGTAAAAATCTCAAATTCCACGTAATTTAGACATACTTTTCCAAAGCATTTCATAAGATGGAACATGCTGTCTTACTTAAATTGACTAATGCTGTGCTGTTCCCTTCTGTACTTTTTCTCATGTCATATTTGTCTAATAGAATAGAATATGTTGAACACAGTGGCTTTGTCTCAAAAGAAATAAAGTACCCCAAGGTTCCATTTCTGGACCAATGTTATTTGTAATATTCATTAATGATATTACAGAAAGTGTAAAAGTCCCATATTTGCTATATGTCGATGATAACTCATTTTTCAAATAAAGTCAGACTGCTTTCCAGTATCTGCGACACTGGTTGATGTGTTAGTATATTAATTCAGAGAATTTTTGCCTTGAATTAGATGCATTATTATCCAAGTTTAATCAGTCTACATTAAATAATTGAATATTTAAATAAATATCTTTTTTTATTTCAAAGTCCTATATCACGAAAATATTTGGCTCACTAATGCTTTTCTGGTTTAAAATAAGTTCTTGCCTGCTAAGGTAAAACAGTATTTGTATATGCAAAAATTTGATTTTTGAATTTCCCGCCGAAACTAGGTAACTTTTTGCGCTCTTTCTCATGCTATTTTTAGATTTATTCTATTTTGCTTAACTTTCCAAATAAAACACTGGTAAAACAGTATATGTGCAACCTAGCTTGTTTATCTGTTACGGAAAAACAGTATATCCAACAAGGTCTACCAACGTAGAATAGTATATACAATCTTAGACTGCTTTGATTCGAAATAAAATTATAACTCACAATGGCAGTAACATATATAAAAGCAAACATTATTTAACACTGGTTTGCATTTATGTTCATTTTTAATTTTTCAATGGTAAAACAGGATATATTGTAGCTACTGATATACCGTGAGATACTTAGTACCAAGCCACCGTGATTCCAATCGCAAAAATGTATAAAATTAGATACCAAACCATACCAAACGTCCACAGAAGGCGACTTTCTAACTACAAAAAATACGCTACTAACTATGCCTAACACGATGACGGCTTACAGAGGAATCTGTTAAATAAAAAAGCCAAAATTGTGACTGAACTTGTGCCGAAAATGCCAGCAAGCCAGGAAACAGTTTTCGGTCGAACTTCCGGAAAACGGCTCTTCTATTGATTTAGTTAGCGAAAGACTTTAATCTATATTAGCTATTTTAGTTAAGAGTTATAATATAATAATATAATGTTCTTTGTGAATAAAATCTAGCAGGCATTATATAATATTGCTGTTTTAATTCCATGGCAAAACTGTTTATGAATTTTTTATATCATTTGTCCTCAGTAATAAACATTTTTTTTAATTCACAAAAAAAAGATAAAACAGTATATGATACTTTTTCAGCAAATCTTAAAAGAAAATTAGGTAAGTTTGTCGCACCATGTTTGATAATACTCTGCTCAATTTATGTTCCAAGTTTCGTTTATCTATCTCTAAAAATGGCTAAACGGCACTAAGAAATCACAAAAAGTCATTTTTATCGGAACTCATTTTTTTCGCATATACTGTTTTACCTTAGCAGGCAAGAGTGGTACTTAAACACTGTATATTTAAATCATCAATATTCAAGATGTTTGAAGACTAGAATATGAAAATGCCTCGATGTAAAATGATGAACTTTCAATAGTAAAAAAAGTAATAACTCGAATTTTTAAAATACCCGTTGGAGGCGAATGTCTCAGGTTTTTAGTGATAGTGTCTTCAAATTTCAACATCTTGTATTTAGAAAACGAAACCATAGGTATTTTTTTATCACCTGAGTTTGGCTATCAACGTGTATTTTCAAATGTAGCTTAGCGTAGTTGTTCATCAAAATCAGATATTCTAACAAACTTTTAATCCAATACTTTTTTTCATATAAAAGGTATAATTACGTAGTTGAAAATTGACACGTCATTGGAAAGAGGACTTATTGCTTTATTAGATTGTGTTTTTGGTTGATTCGTTAGATTTATTTTGTGTGAATTTTCATTCATTTGGAATGGAATGTCAAGTTCATAAAATTTATAATTTTCGGCGCTTGCTTCTTTTTGTTTTTAATCGGCACGGGGAAAACGCTAAAGCCTCTCAAGCTGCTCAGGAAATTTATGCGTACCTATATGGTGACGATGCGATGAATGAACGAACGGTCCGTGAATGGTTTCGCATTTTAAAAAAGGCGATTTCATCCTTAAAGACATGAATCGCCCCGAACGCCCTGCTGAGTTTGATGAAGGGCAATTGAATAAACTCCTTTACGAACATCCAAGACAATCAACAAGGTAATTGGCTCAGGAGATGGGATGTGATTACAAAACAGTAGTAAACCATTTGCATTCGAAGGGAAAAGTTCAAGGACGCTTGGGTACATGTTTTGAACGAAGACAATAAGATTCAAAGCTCCGCAATTGCCGCTGGTTTGCTTTACCGTTATCAATCAACACGTAGTCTTAAGGAACGTTCTCTTCATCGTATTGTGTCTGGTGTCTGTACGTGAAGTTGATACAGCGGAAAGAATAGTTAACCCGCAAAAAACAAGTAACAAGACTATAACTTCAACGTCGAAACACAATGGTATGCGTCTGATGGGACTGGAAAAGGGGGGTAACCGTCAACGCAGAACTCTATGTCCAACAACTACGGCTCCGCGCGACTGTTCAACAAAAAAAACCTGATCGACGATACAACATTCTTTTGCAACATGACAATGCGCGGCCACTTATCGCCAATATTACCAAAACTTCCATTCGGGAATTGATTTGGGAAGTTCCGACTCACTCGCCTTACTCTCTCGATTTCGCGCCTTTTGATTTTCTTTGTCAGACTCCTTATGCGGTGTTTCTTTGAATAACGACAATGAGCTAATAGTTTGGTTGAATGAGTTTTTCCAATCAAAACTGGAGGACTTCTACAGAAGAGGCATCGATAAACATTGTTGAATGGTGGGAGGAGGTTTGTTAAAATGTAATTTCTTGATATGACGTTTCTTATACATTTTTTATGTCTCAAATAATAAAATATCTATCTATCTAACTATCTAGGTCATAAGTTACGATGGAGAATACCTCACTGATTGATAATTGTAGAGTTAAAAATAAAATATCATAAATTTGGACATTACTTATTCCCTAATATTTACCAAAACTAAAATATTCATTTACTTTTTGTTTTCTACAAATGTTTTTAAAATCTTTTTCAAACATTTGCAAATAATATGCAGTTATGCCAATTTTTTGAATGTGTGCAACAAGAACACAAAATTGTTTTTTCACATAAATGGTCTTCTAAAAAATACGTGGTATCTGGCATCTAGCAGGATGATTATCATAGTCAGTAGACCAATTATAAAATGGATAATGTAATTTGTAATGTAAAGATTATAAAAGGAGATAAAATTTCGTATAATTTTGTTATCTTCTGCGGGATATTTCTAAATGTCTTCCTTGCGCCATTTTTTAAGGTTATTTAGTTTTTCTAAATGTTCACGTTCCGTAACAGTTACTTCAGTGTCGCTATATTCTGCAATATATTTTTGTATATTTCTTTTAAACATATTAAGGCATAACAGAGAAAATTTCATACTATTAGTTTATAATGCATCCATTGTTTTTTAATCGTTTCGGAAGACAACAAGGTCGGTAAATGGAGGGAATGCAAGAAACGTAAAGATTTTCAGTAACCATGAAGGTTAACTGAGCATTTATTTACACGTAAAGGTTAACCAAGTATGAAAAAACTTTGAACTGATTCACTGATCCTCAGAAAATTATCATTGAATGCAAAAATATTATTTGAGGTAACGAACGTTAAAGAAAAAATTGTATATTTATAATTGCTATTATTTTTATTTATGAAAAATTAAAACCGGTTGCTGATTTTTAAAACCTGGTCAACTGAAACGCAGCTATATAAAAACATTGAAGCGATAACTTCTTCTAGCAACTTAAGTTTCTTGAAAGGAACTGTGGAGCAAATTTAAATGTATTAACGGTTAACATTTTAAATTTCACAGCGTGTGCCCCTTGAACCGTTTTATACAGGGTTGGGCCAATGTGTGGGAACACCTGTGTACAAGGTGAACCATAAATTTGGTTAAAAAATACATTTACAAAAGTTTTTGTATTATTAGTTTTAAATGGACCATCCTGTTTATTTTAACATTTTTAGAAAGACAGATTTTCGCCGATTACAATAATATAAGGTTTAGTGGGTCTGCGATTTATTGTTTTTTAAATACAAAATTGTTTCTTTTCTCTTCACAAATAAAGTTTTTGAAAGCTACTAGGTACTACCCTACTTATTATCCTTTGTAAGGAATAGATAATAAAGTTAGTTTCAACATATTTGATTTTCATCACTGGAAACTAGGCATGTTATATTATGTACCCAAATTTTATACAAATTTTTGTGCTATGAAATTTATTGTAACACTATGATACCTTTACGAAAATATTCCACAAAACAATTATCTTATTCGTTCACCAATTTATGTTACATGCAATAATTTATTGATACTATGATAGTAATGTCAACTTCATCAAGCCATAAGTGCTCTAAATCTAAATTTATAAAAGGTATATATAAGATTATTCCTGTAATTAATTTTAAGAATTTCTTATAAATGAAAAGAGACGATTTTATTATTATTGTACAAAATAGTATTTACTTGAACTTGACATCAAGCAGCGCCAATATCAAATAAACCAAAACCCAAAAGAAATCCAGAATAAGTGTGTTTTCTCACCCTCAACATTAACCTCAATATCCTCTAGTCTCCCGGGATGATTAATTAACAACGTACTGGGCCTGTGCACAGGTCCAGGTCCAGGCAAAGTCACACTAGGTCCCGTACCACTACCTCCTACACTAACGATTATAGGGCACCCGACCACGGGTCTTTTGTTAAATGCTACATTCACTACGTGATCACAGGCCTCTGCCGGAACGAAGCTGACGGCGAACCTCGCGTTTCCTTGGGGATGGACTTGGGTCGGTATGTTCAGACCCCTAGCAGAAATCGTTATTTCCAAGTTTCCTTCGCCCGCTTCGCTGGCGTCTACAGAGAATGTGACGGGTCTACCAACCGTACCCCTAGCGACGGTTCCAACAGTGACTTTGTTGGAGTCAAAGGCTTTAGCGATGAAGGGTGTTCCTTGAACGGGTCTTCCATTGTAATCTACACTAATTTGGTGAGCTCCAACTTGAATTGGAGTGAATTCAGCGGTGAATCCCGAGTGTATGTCTCCTGTTACTTTGACGGGTAGCTCTCCGATAGGTCCTCTGACGGCTACAGCCAATTCTGCTGCACCACCTCCAGCTACTCCCATATGGAAAGAGCTGGGTTGGTTCACGGGGATGAGCTCAAGATGGGACAAAGATAAAGTCACTCTGCTGGTGTCCGACACAGAGCAGACAAAGGGGCAGCCACGTACGGTTTCTCCGTTGAATTTTATGTCTATGAGATGGGATTTCGCTTGGTCTGGTGTGAAGGAGACGAGGCATCTGCCGCCTCCTACCACTTGGACGTGGTTGGGAACCTCTCCTTCGTTGATAGATATTTCTAGTTGTCCTTCACCTGCTTGGCTAGCGTCAACTAAAAAGAAAGAAATTAGTTATTTATTGTCGTAGAAAAAGGTGATAAAAACGCATTTTTCAAACGAGTTCCCACTATCAAATTAAAAAAATCAGTTCTAAATTTATTTTTGAATAATTCATGTTGATTTTTATCATACGAATAATAGCAGGTTATAAATGTCCTAATGTAAGATAAAAACAGATGTCATTATTTAAGGACCGTAGCTAATCAAAAATTAGTCATATTTTTCTCAAAAATAATTGATTTTATTAAATTAAGATGTAAGAACATCAGGAAATGCAAATAAAATGATTCTATTACTTTCATAACAAATAATAATACTTAAGATCTTTGGTTAAACATAACTTATATGTTTGGACCTTGTTTTTAAAAACAAAACTGCTCTTATATTTTCGTATTTTAGTATATTACATATTAATAGCACTTTTGTTTTGTCATAAAGACAAACATAAAAAGATATAATGTATAATGTCACGTTATATGTATACACATCAAAAACAACATAAAAAATAACAATTAAAATAAGCATTAACAAAGTATGACGTTAAAAAGTTACATGATACAAGTACCTAATAATAAAATGATGCAATAAAAGTTACTTTTTCTTTCTGTTATTATAAGGGTGAGACTGACTTCCGCTATGAAATTTGTGCAACTGTATTTTATAAAAAAGAGACACTGTAAATGTATGAAATTGTAAGAATATCTGTGGAGCAATTTCCACAGTTGTCTCTGAAATAATCCGTATAGCTTTACTTTTTAGAGAAAAAAAACATGCGTACTACAAAGCTTCGAAGTAGATATACCTAGTTTATTATTATTTTACAAAAAAACTTTAAGGTTAGGTTTAACGAAATTACGAATGAAATTAGAAATAACAATTTTCAAATAAGAAAAAGTATTCAGTCAAGAAGAAATGGTCTGCAATCATATTGCGAACACTTTGAAGAATACCAAGGTTACTTTTCCGTTACTTTTTTAAAGTTTTTGCTATGACAATATTCAACTTTGATTACATATTGGTTTATGAATAATTTATATTTACTTACTTGTTTCTATTTTTTGTAATAAATATTTAGTTATTTCTTTATATGAACCTATTAATTAAAATTCCTTTCTTTTATTGTAAAACAGACAGTAAGTGTAAATTTTGTGAAAAAATAAAAATAATGATTTGACAGGAGTAATTTATTTGGAAGTCATAGACGTAGAAGTTACGCTTGATACGAAGGCTGACATCTCTAAATTAACGGTAATCGAAATGCACAATTCATGGTTCTGAAAGTATTAGATATTACTACATCAAATTTTGTGAAGCTCTCATTACGTGTTTTTGCAATATTAAAAAAGTATATTTTTTTATTTAAAAGCCTATAATTCGGAAACGGTGTATTTCTAGATCAAGATTTATATAAACTTTTTAATTTATTTTTACCCTAGTATATAGTATAAGTTTGTATACTTCCTCTTGGGATACTACGTACAATTTATTGGAAAAAAAATTGTCTCCACATAAATATAATAAAAGAACAATAGTATATTGTATATCTAGTAGTAAAAGCAATTTATACATTCCCGGACGACAATGCAAATTGTTGACCGAAACGGCATGCAGCCGAGACCAACAAGCATTGAGTCCGGTAATGTGCTTTTACTACGAGGTACATTATATATAATTTTTTTCTAAAATTGCAAACAATATTAATTAATTAATATGAATTAAGAAATTGTGTTAATACCTATATAGGCGCTAATATAAATGAAAAAAAGAAAACATATTTAAATTAGACACTGGTGATAATGTTCAGATGTCAGAGACATCACTAGAGTTAGTAGTAGCTGCAATAAATGTGATTTTAAAGTCATTACCAAACAAATATAGGGAAAAGTATGAATTCGCTTACATACGTTTCAAGACTCATTGCCTTGAAAAAAATACGACCTCCCGATCCGAAAATGTTATTATTGCGTACTTTTTCGATTTATCCACAGAGCTGAAGGCATCTACGTTATGGTCAATTTTCTCCAAGTAGTTATTACAAGGGAAGAAATTAATTGTTTTCCTGAAACGTCAAGGTGACAACTATAAACTGAAGAAGTCAAACGTTTTGTCAAGATGTTAGATGTGGAGATTTTAAAACATCTGGATATTAGTTTTTCCTTATTAGATTGCCTTAATATTTGGTGTTGCCGGTGCATGTCGCCGTGATGAACTGTATCAATTAAATTTTAATAATATAGATGATTTAAGATCAAAGCTTTTGATTAAAATACCAGCAAATGAAACGAAAAAAATCGAGATCATTTATGATTAAGGAAACTTATATTCCACTGTACAGAAAACATGTTGCATGCCGTCCAGAAAATTTTGAATGTTGCCGCTTTTTCTTTAAATATACAAATGGGAATGGTTACAGGCAAGTAGTAGGAATGCATCGGTTTGTTAAAATGCCTCAAATTGTCCCCAAATTTTTAAATTTCCCAAATGCAGATAAATACAAAAGACATTGTTTCCGTCGATCCTCTGTATTTTGATTAATGCCGGGGCAGAGTTAATTGCATTAAAGAGACATGGACGATGTACATCTTCAAACGTTGCCGAAGGATATACATATAGAGAAATCTTTTACAAATAAACTGGACATAGCAGTTAATATATTTAAAGGGAAGATTTACTAATAATATTGTCGAAGAAGAAATAATTAATTAGTAGTTTTAATAAACGTTTAATATGTGGAATACGTTCAATAAATAGTGCTATATTTACTAAATAATGCATTTTTGATGCGAGTTGGTTTGCCTGCGTGTATTTATAAATATTTGCTGTATATAATACAGATAAAAGTAACTTTCCCGTACTATTTGCTGTTGATTGCTTAGCAATGAACTAAAATACAAGAATACGCTATTTTAGGATCAGAAATTGGGCCGAAAAAGAACACATTTACGAACGATTTCGGAAAAAAATATTTCGCACAATTTAGACTCCAAAGTAGTATTATAAAAATATATCTCTATTTCTTTAAAATTTAATAACCAAATGTAAATTCTCAAAATTAAAATATATGAATATGAATATGAACCTATGTTTAATAAGTATTTTGATAAATTAGTGAAGATAACTGAATTACGGTAACAACGTAAATGATTTAGATTTCAGTTTCATAAAATAACGAACCCAACAATATACACATAAATCTAACCGTACACCGTAATTTTTGATTATCACTTTAAAATAATTAGAATAAAAATATTTACAAAACTGCCACTCCATACCGCGTTAAGCGTTGCTTTTACTTCTTACTTTCTACATTATTCTCGAGTTATTCCAAGGCAAACGAACTGTTCCTAATGACCTTAAAACTGATTTAAACTATGGAATTTCTATTTCCTCTTGTACTTATTATTTAATCAACTGCAAATATTTAGCCGCACCATACCGACAATCTTAACATTGCCACACAGACACTCACTTGCGGAGAAGCGAACTGTAAGTACTTGGATTCGTTCCTCAAGCAATCGTAAATAACTTAATTCTATAATAATTAAAAGAGTTAGGCTACATGGTTCGAGGAATACAAGGAAGAATGAAATAATTAAATCTACTGTGGTTTAATGTTACATATATTGAGATCAACCAACCATTTCTGAATTCGACGCAGAACGACTTTAAAATGTTGTGCCACTTCCTCGATATATGAATGAGGTTTATTGGAATAGTACTCTCGCAAATTAATGAACTGTTTGTTTAATTAACTTTCTTTTCTCGCGGAGAAATTTTTTATGATAAAGTCTACAGATTTATGTTATTGAAATTTCTGTAGAGAAATAGCAAACATATTTTAAATGTAGAATAATTTAAGAAGCATGGTCATTATTAGCTCGCTTATAAAATGTGTTCTTGGTAAAAATACGTGGACTGTATCCAGATCTCCATTGGATGAAAATAAGTAAATTTGGAGAAACTTGCCTAGATACAAAAATAAAAAATACTGCTGACAAATAGTAATACATACCATGAATATTTTTTTCTATAACTGTACTTTGGGCTAGAATGGCTTTAGTTCGAAGCGTCTGTATTTATTTCAATGTAATACTTTACTAGAATACATATGTAAGAAAATTATTTTGTATTAAAAATGGGGGTGATATGGAGTGGTCAAAGCAGTGACAATCCAAAAAATAACACTCTATGTATCAATTTTTACACACACAATATTTATACTCAAACATGCAAACTAATTAAACAGTTTTTAGTTCAAACCGTTTTAAAACATTTGTCCAGAAAATAACAGACTTTTTGAGTTACACGCTAATGGAGATATTTAGTGATATGCGGTTGGCAGCATTGCGTTGCGCAGAACCTCCTCTGTAACGACATGGTCTTGGACTGTTGATATCTCATTTAGATTGATTTAGTGATATTGTTATTTGAGTGCAACGTGTTTAAGTGTTAGTGACGATTTCTGAAAAGTACGATTTTCTGAAACAACGATGTAGAGTAAAATTTTGTGTGAAACTGGTGAAAACTTTCACAGAAACGTTTCAACTTTTGAAATAAGCTTACAGAGATGATGCTCTGGGTTTTACGCAATGTTACGAATGGTATGGTTTTCAAACTTAAAAGTGGTCGTCAGTGAATTGAAGATGATCCTTGACCAGAAAGGTCTTCGACTTCAACTGATGACCCCACGTTCAGAAAGTCAAATATCTGGTATGTTCAAATCGCCGATTGCCTGTCAGGGAAATTGCAGAAGAGGTTAGCATCTCAATTGGGTCATGCCGTGACATTTTGACTGAAAAATTGATCATGCTTCGAGTTGCAGAAAAATTTGTTCCTCGTTTGATGACCGAACAAGAGAAAGAAAATCGTGTGGACCACAGTATCCAAATAACTAAACCTGTATTTAACAAAAAAATGTAAACTTCTCTTAATAAAAAAAAAACTCAATTTACGTGTACATAGCTAACAATCTCTTCACCTTGGATTACAATAA